ATATAGAAATCTATTATAAAAGGTTAAAATTTACCAAAACACACACATATTCACAGGTGAGAGAAAGGTAAACAAACATAAAGATGCAGCATTAAATCATAACTGCATAAAATTAACTATTATTATCTGTTGTTACTACTGTATTAATTTTGTAGCCATCGCCTGTTGCCATTGCGGTGAGCTCAAGTGTTGCTAGTGTCTGCTTAAAATACTATGTGATGCTAATCATCTCCGCATGAGCAGAGCATTTTCTGTCTCCAGTAAATTGTGTATTACAGTAAAAAGTGATCTCTCGCGGTTCTTGCATATATTTCATTGGGTTTAGTGTAAATACTGTAAACCTCGAGTAACACCATGGGACCCATACGAACTGCCACCAGTGATGCTGGACGTATTCCCAAGACGCAGAGAAAAGTCATGACATTGTAAGAAAAAGTTGACGTTGTGTAGATTGAGATCTGCAGCTGTGGTTGCCTGCAATTTTGGACAGATGATGCATTCTGTAAACAGATGACATAAATTTGCAGTATTGATAAATACAGGACAGTGCTATAAGTGTATTTTCTCTTCCTTATGTTTTTTTTTTCTTTTTTTCTTTTTTTTGAGATAGGGTCTTGCTCTTCACCCAGGTTGGAGTGCAAAGGTGCAAAGGCAGCTCACTGAGGCCCTGACTTCCCAGGCTGAAGCGATTTTCCCGCCTCAGCCTCCTGAGTAGCTGGGATTACAGGCACACACCACCATGCCCAGTTAATTTTTAAACTTTCTATAGGGATAGGTCTCCTTATGTTGCCCAGGCTGGTCTCACACTCCTGACTCAAGCGATCCTTTCATCTTGGGCTCCCAAAGTCCTGGGAATATAAGCATGAGCCACTGTGTCTGGCCTCTCTTCCTTATAATTGTCTTAGTAAAATTTTCTTTTCTCCAGCTTATTTTATTGTAAGAGTATGTAATACATACAACATGCAAAATGTGTTACTTGCCTGTTACGTTTTTGGTAAGGCTTCTGGTCAACAGCAGTAGTTAAGTTTTTGGAGTGTCAAAAGTTATAAGTGGCTTTTCAACTGTGCAGGGGGTCGGTGCTCCTAACCACCTTGTTGTCCAAGGGACAACTGGATAGCCTACAAACCAAGACATGAGTGGGAACTGTAGTGAACTGCTCCTACATTGAGTAATCAAGGGGCACTCTGCCACTTTATTCCTCTAGATTACATAGGTGGAATCTTTCTTTTCTTTTTTGAAATGGAGTCTTGCTCTGTTGCCCAGGCTGGAGTGCAGTGGCGTGATCTTGGCTCACTGCAAGCTCCGTCTCCCAGGTTCATGCCATTTTCCTGCCTCAGCCTCCTGAGTAGCTGGGACAACAGGTGCCCGCCACCACGCCCGGCTAATTTTTTTGTATTTTTAGTAGAGACGGGGTTTCACCATGTTAGCTAGGATGGTCTCCATCTCCTGACCTTCATGATACGCCTCGGCCTCCCAAACTGCTGGGATTACAGGCCATAGGTGGAATCTTTAAGTAGAGCTGTACATCACCAATTTCCCTTCTCTCCAGAAAACACATCCAAAGTGTTCTCTCAACATCAGTTAGGTTAGCATCAAATTTGAGAGAGATATCCAAGACAACAACTCAACTTCAGCAAGAATAGAGTAGCTTGGCATTTACCAAGGAGAGATACTAAATACCTTATTATTTTCTAGCTCTGAGGCTCTGCCATGTTAGGTCACATGGTTACATCTCTCCACAGAACTTGAATTCACTTATAAGTGCCTTTCTATCTCTTACACATCCTCCCATTTCCATCTATTACCTGTTTTGACCCATACCCTTTTCCCCACGATTGGGCTAACTGGTTCAACGGTTGTATTATAAACCCACAGGGACAGTAAAACAGCAGCCTTGTTAGCACTTCTCCTTGGCAGATATTACAGGATTTGACACATAAGAATCACAAGACACTTGGTTTGTGTTTATGGATAGGCCTTAATTTGCCTACACAGAGTGAAGTTATTCACACCCCTAAAGGCCTTTAAGAATATGCACTGTCAAAGGTAATGGTATTAATATTGTGTTTTGTGCACTGACAACATTTTCCTTTGGTATGTGCAACTTTAAACTCGGGCCTAGGACCATTAGATCAGGGAAAATTAATTAAAAAATCTATGAAATGGGAAAGATACATAGTTGTTAACTTGCATCCTCCCCCATCACCTCATTCCTATCTCCCAATCCTAGAAACCTTACAAGTAGAGTCCTAGCATCATTCCCTTTCACAGTCAATGCTACTACACCATCATTTAACTGAATAAACTAACCCTTAAACCTGTACAGTTTTTTCTAGTGATCAATTTAGTTACTTTGGAAACAAATATATCTTTCAAGAAACAGGAGGTTTTTCCAGTGATAGGTAAAAGTGGTTTCATGTTTTCCCTTTATCATTTATCTCTTTTTTAGCAACTAGATAACATCCTGCTAAAAGCAGTCCAAAGATACCCTTCCCCTCTAGTAAACACCCTTAGTGATTTTTTTGTTTCTTTGTATGTTTTTTTGCCATGAGGTCTGTAATTGTATTTACAGGAAGATTATAGAAGTTCTTCCTTCTTTCTTTCCAGGAAGCCTACCCCAGTTACTGGAAAGAATGGATAATAGATCTGCTATTTGGTCTTTTTGTTCCCCCAAATTATGGGATTTTCTAATAAATAATACCTCTTGTGACCTTGATAATCAAGATTTACTGTGGAAGAAAGAAGGCAGAGATGGAATACAGAATTATTATAATCCTTATGTTGTCTTGAATTTGATTTTGAAATATCATGAACTCATGAGTCATTAGATATACACATACAGACATATATCATTTCACGTCCAAAGAAATCAGGGCTTCCTGAAAAAAAGGATGTTCTAGCTCTGGGACAGAAAATGTGTAAGATGACCACTTTGCAGCAGCATTGTTTATCACAGTGCCAAACTGGATACCACCTATATGCCGTCAATAATAGAATGGACAATTAAATTGTGGTGTGATAAGTTAATTAGAGTCTCCTACAAGGGAACACTATACTACAATATAAATGAACACACTATTGCTTCATTCAATAATATGGATGAGTCCCTTAAAACATTATAATGAAACAAAGAAGCCAGAAATTTTATGAGTTCATTGATGCCTATAAGACATAGAGGTTATGTAACATAATTATAAAAAATATATTTGTATGCGTTCGTGTAGAACTGATCCTTTTCTATTATAAGACCATTTCATAGAAAAATGGTCCACAAAATTTTACCGATCCCTCTCCCCCATAGAAAGGTCTTATTGTCCCATTTTTTTTTTTTTTTGGCTTAAATCCTGTTCTGACAATTTTAAATGGGAGGAAAAAGGCTTAGCAACCTATATTGCATCATTTATATGTTTCTATGTCTTCAGAAGTACTGTGCCATTTAATAAACCTTTCTTAATATTATTCTAAAGAATAACTTTCATCTTTGCACACCTATGGGCAGTCAGTAGAAACCATGTGCTGTAAATGTTAAAATCAGATCTATATTTTCGTTACTGAGATGCCAAAGACAAATCTGCTCGGGTTTTACATTTTACCCAAAGGCCTGATAAAGCTAATTCCCCATCTCTAATCCCTACAGAGACGCACACATAGAAATGAAAGAACACACAATATTGGTCATATACTATTAAAAGATGGCAATAAGGTCAAATTCTTTGACTACCTTTTCAATAAGGGAGGTCTCTCTGGGTCCTAATCTAGTCTTTTATCTATCTGGCAGTAAAAGGAATAGTATGTGTACCTTTCAGTGAGATGTGACGTGAACTTCATTACAGAACTATGTAATCTTAGAAAATTCAAGGAGAGAGCGAGAGACAAAGAAAAAGCAAGAGGGAATACTCTGTACAGAATCACCCAGAAATTCGTATGACAAATATATTTATGATGAGATCGTTAATCATGAGAGCTGCTCGGCAACCTTTTCTCAGAAATAATAATATAATACCACGCAATCTTTCTCGTTTTAACAGCTAAGGAGATCAACTACAGATTCACTAAATAAAGCTTTCAACTGAAGACAACAAACTCAACTTCAGCAAGAATAGAGCAGCTTGGTATTTACCATGGAGAAACATTATGGGATCTGTACTCTTTCTCTTAATTTTATTTAAAAAGTGAATGTATCTGTAAAATCTTCTACAGCTCAAGACCTCGTTATTTCAGAGATCAGCAAGGTAAACACTCTCAAATGAGGTACATGATTTAGGCTCTGGGAACTCTCAGGCTTCAGGGCATTTTCTACAACAGGTTCATGAAATGAACGAACTGGGCTCAAACCCTATGGTTTCTCAAAAATGAATATAATTATAGCAATTCCAAATAAATTAAATGTGTTCATATGTAATGTCCATACTTGAATCAGATTACCACCTGCCTACTGTGTCTATGCTAACTAATCAGATAACATTTTCTCAAACATGATTTTCTCACCACCTCCAACAAAAACCAGTACCCTATCTATTTTTTATAACAAAAACAAAACCATCATTCTATTTTAGCATTATTCAAAATATGTTAAAAAATACAAGGAATATATCATGTTTTGTGTCAAATACATATTGTAAGAAGCTTCCAAAAAACTCCAAAACAAAACAAAAATAACCCTTGTATTTCCTGTCTCCAACAAGCCTAAATTCCAAACCCTAAAAAAAAAAAAAACACTTAAATTGAAGGACTATAATACAATATCAGTTTTAGAACCAGTTAGATATTTAAAAAAAAAAAAAAAAAGTCTTACTAGTAATCACTTTGGCAAATGGTCAAAAGCCCATTTTAAAACTTCTCTTTCTTCATGCAAGGAAGGTGCTTACTCAATTTCTTCAGCTGTGACTCCACATTTTTATATTCTAAATCAGTTTTCTTTGTTCATTGTAACTACTTATTAGTGAATTGAGATTATCTATGTGGCAACAAACAGCTCCCTTGATAGTTTGGCTGCATACCCAAAGCTGCTACTTTGATGATCATTGCTTGAATGTTAGATGATATCATCTCTCGGAGCAAATCCTCCTGGTTTCTCTGCCACAGGTAAGCTAAAGGCTGGAGATTAAGCCTTTTACACCTACAAAAGAAAAAGAAAAAGAAAGTCAGATGATATCTTAATATTTTATACTTGGATCCACAGCAATTACTTTGATTTGAAACATAATGCTTCGTTGAAGGATTTTAGCATTGAAAATGCTTTTAAAAACATATTTTGCATAATGAAGTTTATATATACAACATAAACATATTTAATTTCCATGGGCTATGCATAAACTGATAAAAATGAAATTTCTAGGCACTAGAAATATTAATTTTAGTAAGACTCTTAGTTTAGTAATCTATTAAAAGAGTTTACAAATGCCAGTATTCTCTCAGTTTTAAAACTTCCATGGGTATCAAAATTTTGAAGCATATGTAAAGTGGGCAAATAATTTATCCTAATAAAACAGCTTCATATTGATTAAATTAACAATAACTACAGTTACGTGAATTATTCTAAACTACTAACTTTGATTTTTTTTTTTTTTAAGAATTTGACTGTGAATAAAAAGAAAATACTAAGAACAAAAAGTACAATGCTGCAGGCACTGTACAAGATATTTTCCATTATTGGTAAAGTATAAAAAATATAGGTTTTGGAGTGAAGACACATCTGAATTTAAAACCTCATTTTGTACTCTAGTTACATGGCTTTTGAAGTCAAGTAAAATCTAAGTCCTTGAGCTTAGTTTCCTAGTTCATAAATAGGGGCAAAAATAGTTCCTTTCAAAGTTCTTAAGAGGATTAAAAAATGTGAAATGAAATCATCCTTCCCTTTCCTTCACATTCCACATCTAATCTACCACAACGCAGAATGTGATTATTCCTCACCAATACCACTGCTAACAACTTGGTTTGAGCCACCATTCTCTCTCATGTCAACATCCTAATTTCCTTCCCTGCTCCACCCTCACCCTTTTAAAATCCATACAGCAGCCAATGTGATCCTTTTAAGACATTAAATAGATCATAGTATTCCTCTGCTCAAAACCCTCCAGTGGCTCCCCATCACTCCATGGATCTCGCCCTGTTTAGTTCATGCACTTTATTTCCTACTACTTACTCTCTTCTCACTCCATCCTACCACTGTTGCCTGCCTGCTCACTCTTGCCTTTACACTAGTTGTGTTCTCACTTGCTTCATGCCTTTGCTTAAATGTCACTTTCTCAGAAAGGACTATAATTGTTTAATCAATTAAAGGTAATATAGATAATGTAGTACAATGCCTGGATAAAATAGGTATTCAATAAATGATAGTCAAAGCCAAGTGACTTGCCCGAGTCATACACTAACTGGCTAAGATCAGATTCCAAACCAAGAATATAGCTCTAAAACCCAGTGTCTATAAGGTTTATAAGTAAAATCCACTGTCCCTAGCATCTGGAAGGTTGCTTGGCTGACTACTCTGGCCTATACTGATCTCTCTCTCTCTCTCTCCTCTCAGAGATCCCAATACTTATTAAATGTACCATGTTTGGTCATTTACTCATACATGGCCTTAAAAATATCACTATTGTTTTTCATTACGTATACCCTGACTTTCAAACAGCCAAAACCTTCCTCATTGCAGAGATTGTTGCATGTAATTTTCCCTTTTAAAATGTCTCAGAGCATTTAAGCAATGCTGAAGCAGTTAATAAATACAAAAATAATAAAATGTGAACTACTCATGTAATACAAACACTAGTTCTTGCTGTCCTCTCACCCAATGTTTAAGGCCGACTAATCAAAACAGCCTCTCTACCTTTTTAAACGAAGACTTACTTTTTTATTTAAAAAAAAGTTTTTTTCCTGTCCTTATTGTAAAATTTGTGGTTGTTGCTTTGAAATTCCTCTAAACCTCTTGACTATAGACTTAAGTAAAATTTTTTTCCTATTTAAGTTCTTTAACAGTTCAAAATATCATGGCTCAAATAAAAGTACTCTGTAAATCACTGCTGAATTTGAACTTGTGACATCTATTAAATGCTTTACAATCTGAAATTATGATAACACAACACAAACTAAAATTTGGTCATAGGCTAATTCAAAATTGAGTTTGTGGACCAATAGACTGCCAGTAACATTGCTTTTGAAATTTCAAGGATAAAATAATTGCAGATATGCTTTATAACATAAAATCTATTCATCCGTTCAACCATGTGTTCAAGTGTACCAGAGACTGTGTTTTGAGAAAGTCTCTACCCGTGGGCATGACATGTGCCCTTCCTCCATATATATACATATATGTAATGGGCAGACTCCTAATCAGGAGCACATTTTTATTTGGCTTTTTAACTTTCATAAATAGATGTCATCCCTATCTCCAGTTTGGCTACCCACTAAAGCATGTGGGTTTGAACTTATTAAAAAACACTAATTTTTAACAATTCTCAGAGAACATGATGTAAAACTTGATGACAATACTATTATTTCTAAAGTATGGCTTAAGGAATATGCAATTCATCTCCATCTGTAGATTGGTTGTTCTCAACGGTAGATCTACATCTAGATAGAATGCAAGGAAAACTTTCTCAAAATACACATGACCTTCTTCCCCACTCCGCCATCGCCATCCATTGTCCAGAGACTCTGATACACCTCTAAAATGTAAGATCATATTTCTCTTCACTTAACTATGCTTTACCCTGTTTTCCCTTCATTCACTCTTAAAATTCCGTATTTTTTTAAACTGCCCTAAATTAGAGAGAAAATAAATAAAAATGAAACTTAAACTTTCAAATCCATTAATATGTAGGTTTTAAATGAGATAGTAAATAGGAATGTTTCTTTATCAAGAATATAAAAATATTATATAAATACAGCCATTATCTTATTCTATTTATCATTTTGACTAGCAAAATCACTTATTTGTAGGTCAAATTGTGCTTAAGAAAAATAATGGAGTCCAATTTTTTTTTGTTAATATAATTATGCCCAGAATCTCTATACAATATTATATTTATCTAGATAAATTAAAAATGAAAAGTAAATTCATTCAGGTCGTGTCTTGCCAGGCCAACATTAAATAACCAATATTATCATTTCACCTCATGGTTTTTGAATAGATCAATAGAACTGACCGTTTTGGTATGTGCAGCTACAGACTAAATGCTTCACTAGTGCTCCCTCCCTCAGGGGAGCAGAGAGGGGCTAGGAGGAGGGGAGGAACATCCTAAAAATTCCTTGAAAGTTGAATGGCTTTATATGTAAGTACTTCAATCATATAAATATTTTTGGACAAGAACTGAATTATATGAACCAAAGAAGAGATGACTCCTTAGTAAGCATTTTTTGTCTTTAAAATATTACTGTATTGATTTTATTATCTCTTGATTTTTATCACAAATGATGAGTTAAAAGAGATTAACAGGATATACTAAATCAAATAAGAAAAAAATGAAGATAATACTTCTCACTAAAAAATCTGTCTCAATTCTATGATAGATTATTTTTCCTTACACTAAATAAGCTAAATTTCCTCATGTGTGATATAAGGATAGAAAAAAGTAAAAGCATGACTTTTGTTACTTAGGTAAATACATACATTTAGTTCCATGGAGCACACAGACTACCTACCTATTTATAATTTGAATACAATTATTGATTTTTCACTTATTCACATTCTTAAAATACATACACTTTTAAAATTAACAAATTAATGTTTTCTTACACATTTTCCACTCGAATACGCTGATAGTCAGAAAGTATAGCACCTACTGATATCCCCTCTACTTCTTCTTTTTCCTGAAAATAAAGGAAAAAACCATAACTTTAAAGTAACAAATGGCTCCACATCATGCTCTGAAAATTATAAATGAACTGCGTCTCATCTAGAAAACTACCTCAAAGCAGAGTAATTTACTGAAAATATAATCGACATTCAGAAAAAATTTACATATATTTAAATCATTCTCTCAGCTGTGAGAAAAATAATTATGGTTTTACTTAAAATTTAAATACTAGAGATCCCTTTCCATGGAGAAAGCAAAGACTTAGGCAGCACTTCCAAAATGTTTCACACTTAACGTATTTTTAAAGACTCACTGATGTTCGATGGAAACTTTTGAGAAATTTCTATTTAAGGACACTATTTTCCCAGATTGAGTAACTTCTTTTAAAAATTAAGCAATGGCCTACATAGATAAGGGAGCACAATAATTTTTACGTAAATCTTAGGAAAAAATGATTGAAATAGGAGTATCCAGAAAGCAGAGATGGTAGAGGCATTGCCTGGATAACAGTATAGCACTGTAGATAAAGAATTCTGTCATGGGAAGGAAGCAATGAATTATTATCAACATAGTTGCAACTGAGAGCATCCAGCAGTATATCCGGCGTGGTCCCACAGGAATGACAACTATCCTGTCTAGCACACTCGTTAATGAGCTGGAGGAGAATGTACATTCAAGTATGATCAAGTTTGCAGATGATACAAAGCTAGACTGGATTAAAAAGAAAAGAAAACAAGATCAATCAAGTACATGGATGGATTATGGACAACTTGGGGATTTGAAAGGACAGGTCCAAGATGAGATTTAATGTAAAGAAGTGTAAGATAATACACTTAGGGAAGAATAATACACAATATGGGTGTAAACTAGGGAACTGTTATCTAGAAAACAGACATGAAGAAAGTGACTAGGGGGTGATTACTAATAACAAACTGAATAGAAATTCTCTGAATAGGTGTAAAAGAAAATCCATCCTAGCCTACGGACGTACAAAAGAAACTACTTCAGAGAGATCGCTTCATTATGAATACTCTGGTCTTACCAAACTTGGACAACAAGAAAGAAAAACAAAAGTGTTTCACATAAAACAAAAGTTAATATTTCAAGTCATACTGAAATAACCCTGTGTACCTAAAAGGATGCCATAATAAATAAACAAAAATGTGCAAAAGAAATTTTTCATGTCTTTAAAATCAATTGAAAATTTGCCCTTCGAAATGACAGAGAAATACCTGTCCAAATCACCCCAAAATAAAACAATTCTTTTTATCAGATAAGGTTTCAGGAAAAGAGCTATTTCCTTTACTTTCCTATTTCAGCAACTTTGTGAGAACATTTGCTTATAACCTTTCCCTAACCTTCCTAGCCATATTTGTTTTCATAAAAGTCATTGTATTCATTAGAAAAAGTCATAGCATAGAGTTCCTTATTAAATGTAAATACAGTAGAGATTGGAGTTGTTGAATAATGTTATCAAAATTTTAGTTATATCCCTATATAATATAGATGTTTATCTGAAGTTCTGCTATAAAAATAATGAAGTACTAAATATAGACATATAGGAGTGTGTGTATTTCTCCAGAGATCATGGAAAGACAGACAAGAGCCACTGGTGTTTTCTTCCTTCCCTAAGTCAAATTACTATTTTCTTTTTTTTAGACAAAGTCTCACTCTGCCGCCCAAGCTGTAGTAGAGTGGCACGATCTCGGCTCACTGCAACCTCCACCTCCCAGGTTCAAGAAATTCTTCTGCCTCAGCCTCCCAAGTAGCTGGGACTACAGGCACGTGCCACCACGCCCAGCTAATTTTTGTATTTTTAGTAGAGACGGAGTTTCACTATATTGGCCAGGCTGGTTTCAAACTCCTGACCTGGTGATCCACCCACCTCAGCCTCCCAAAGTGCTGGGATTACAGGTATGAGCCACCGTGCCTGGCCATCAAATTACTATTAAAATAATAATTGGAATTTATTATCCATTGCCATTCACTAGTGTGCTATGATTTTTATTTAATGCTCACCACAACCCTAAAACAATTTCTTCTTTGTATACATGCATTCTTTGGAATACTCTTCTACTCCCATCTATTTTATTTCATGTATTTTTAAATTTTTATTTATTTATTTATTTAGAGACAGAGTCTCACTCTCTCTGCTGCCCAAGCTGGAGTGCAGTGGGGCGATCTCAGCTCCAGGGTTCAAGCAATTCTTTTGCCTCAGCTTCCAGAGTAACTGGGACTACAGACGTGTACCACCATGCCAAGCTATCTTTTTCTATTTTTAGTAGAGATGGGGTTTCACTGTGTTGCCCAGGCTGGTCTTGAACTCTTGGACTCAACTGATCCACCCGTCTTGGCCTCCCAAAGTGCTGGGATGATAAGCTTGAGTCACTGCACCTGGCCCCATCTATTTTATTTTTTATTTGATAACACTTAACTAATCAGCACTAAGTAAATTCTGACTATTCTTCAACACTGAGCCTATATATAGATCATTAGTTTTATTTGTTCAATAATTTTTTTGAGGCCTCCTGGGTTCAAGTGATTCTTGTGCCTCAGCCTCTTGAGGAGCTGGGATTACAGGCATGCATTGTGTCAGCAAGCCCAGCTAATTTTTGTATTTTGGTAGAGACAGAGTTTTGCCATGTTGCCCAGGCTGGTCTTGAACTCCTGACCTTAAGGGATCTGCCTGACTTGGCCTCCTCCCAAAGTGTTGGGATTACAGGTGTGAGGCACCACACTTGGCCCAATAATTGTAATTACTACTGCCTGGTAGAAATCTGGCCCTATTACTTACTAGCTCTGTGATTTTGAATGTTACTTGATTTCTCTGTGTCTGTTTCTTCATCTATAAAGTGAGGAAAAAAATATCAATTCTTATTTTCCAAGGTTATTGTGGAGATTGAATAAAATAATTCAGGTAAATAACACAGTATCCAGCACCTAGTAAGCATTCAGCAAATATTTTCTTCTTTCATTATTATGATCTTTACTATTCCTATTACTTCTATAACTACCTGTGTTACTACTTCTACTATTACTACTACTGACTACTACTACAGTCATCTCTCATTATCAATGGGGGGTTGTTTCCAGGAATCCCCCTAAAATCAAAATCCACAGACTCTCAAGTCCATTATATAAAATAGTGTAGTATTTGCATATAACCAATGCATATCCTTGCATAAACTTTAAATAGTCTCCAGATTATTTATAATACCCCAATACAAGGTAAATGCTATGTAAACAGTTGCCATACTGTTTTTAAAATTTGTGTTTTTATTGTTGTATTCTTATTTTTTATTGGTTTTTCCTCATAATATTTTTTATCTACAGTTGATTGAATCCATGGATGTGAATCCGCGGATACAGCGGGCTGACTGTACTGCTACTACTGGATTAAAAACCTAACTCTTCCATTTTGATGGACAAAGCCCTTCTCTAATGGGCTTTAACACTCTTTCTCATTATGACTTCTCAAGACGAGCCTACTAACCCTTGACACTCAACTCTAGATAGAGTTGCAACACAGTTTTCCAGCACAGTGAGACCTGAATAATCCAGGGATAAGGAAGACTTCTGCTGATTCCTTAATCATTCTGAACACAACTACAAACTTCAAACAAAGGGCAAAATAGATATTTAAAAGATAAAGATCTACCACATAGTCAATCTACGCCTTAGAGAAGACATAGCTACGTTCAGGCCCTGATCCCTGACCCATATCATTTGGGAGAAAAAGTCAGTAAATAAACAATAGCAATGGAAGTATCCACAGAGAAAAAAAGAGAATGGCTACTAACATAAAGGATATACTGAGACAGCATAAAGACAGCCAAATGAATCACCTTGTGTCATAGATGAAATAAAACCAAGTATGCTACAGGAAATTAGTAATATAGACTCTGGGACCCTATCCCTACAAATTTTTTAAACCAACTCAACTGAGTTATAATCATGTACAATCAACTGCATACAGTTAAAATGCATAATTCAATCATTTTGGATTGAACCCAGTGAAACTGGTACCATAATCAAGACAGACATCATTTCAGTTATTCCCAAGCAGTTCGTTGTGCCCTTTGCAGCCCAACTCTCCCTTCAAACCTGGAGAGAGACAAGGAGAGAACCTAAAGAATGGGACCAACGTTTCTACCTTAAATTACTATTAACTGAGAAAGAAAATATATACATGTTTTAAAAGAAAATACTCCATTTATTCAGTTTTGCATATGTTGTATTCAATCTGTTTGCTAGGTATCTTTGTGTGGCTCATACTGTCATAACAAAATACCATGCAGACTGGGTCGCTTAAACAACAGAAATTTACTTTCTCACAGTTTTGGAGGCTGGAAGTCTAAGCTCAAGATGCCAGCATGAATTCTCTGGGACTCTCTTAAGGCCTCTCTTCCTGCCTTGTAGATGGTCGACATCTTGCTGTGTCTTCACGTGGTTCCAGGGGTGGCAGGAAGAAAGTGCAAACTCCTTTCTGGCGTCTTTTCTTACAAGGATACTAATTCTATCATGAGGGCCTCACTTTCATAACCTCATCTAAACCTAATTATCTCCCAAAGGAGATCCAAATACCTTCCAAATACAATCACATGTGAGGTTAGGGCTTCAATATATGAATTTGGGGTAGAGGGCATAATGAGTTTATAGCACTATCCAAATAGATAAGACTATTAGGTACACTGAAGAAAACTCTGGTGCTCAAGAGAGCACAGGAATATATGTGGGTGTTGTCAGCATATACCTGAAGCCATGGGAGCAAACAAGAACCTCAACGATAGGATATAGGGTGAGAAGAGGGCTGAGTGGAAGACCCTGGGGGTACACCAACATGTAAGGAGAGGCAGGAGAAGGAAAACCCAGTGAAGATGTTGGAAAAGAGTGGTCATAATGACAGAAGATACAATCAGGATAAAGTAATGGTGTGTGCACAAATATACAGAAAATGTTGATGAAAAGGCAAGGACAAAGTAACAATATTACCGAGTACCCAGTATGGACTAA